TTTTTTTTTTGTATTTTTAGTAGAGACGGGGTTTCACCATGTTGACCAGGTTGGTCTCAATCTCTCAACCTTGTGATCCACCCGCCTCGGCCTCCCAAAGTGCTGGGATTACAGGCTTGAGCCACTGCGCCCGGCTATTGTTATTATTTTTTAAGACCAGTCGAATGCAGTAGTGAGTCGGGAGAAAGAGTAAAACCAGGAGTGTGACCTGTGACTGATGGTGAACAGTTGAGATACCATCTTCAGAGATATCTCTGAAGGACTCTCTCCTAATCTAGGCCTAGTCAGGTGTTCCTATTAAGTCCTTGGGTGTATGTGTGCTGGGTGGCAGTAGGGTGTGTCCTTAAAGTCAGGGCACCTGCAGTATTGTTCTTTGGTTTCCCAGCATCACCTGGGCCTGTCAAGAATCAGGTTCAGCATCCGAGTGCCCTTGGGTGCCTGTATTTGGCTGGAATCTGCAGGCCCCTGGTTTCCCCCTGGCCTGACTCCTTGCTGGTATTGCAAGCAATGCCAGGAGGTACAGCCATGGCAGGGCCATGAACGCTACGGGCTGTGTGAGGGTGGGCCCCTTGCCCCGTGCCTGCCGATTCCCAGAAGCCTGCTGCTTTTGCTTTCAGCTCTGCCCCTACCACTTACTTTTCTTCATGTCCAAAGGCCTAATTCCCAGCCCTCCCAACAAAACCTTTCCTAGACTATGAGGCCATTTCAGTCTTAACCCTGCAAAGAAGGCAGGGCAGGTGTTGTTTCCCCATTGACAAAAGGAAAAAAGGTTTGGAGATTTGCCAGCTGTCCCAGAGTCAGCAGGCTAAGTGGCAAAGCCAGCACAAGAACCAAGGTTGCTTTTATTCTTGCTCCGGATCTCTGCCCTCTGTGCCTCCCGAATCATCTGCTATTTTGGACTGGAGTTGCCTCAGTTGAGACTGCATTCAAGTGGTTTTCCCAGGGAGGGCAGTCTATTTCTCTGGAAAGATTCATTTCCGCTGTGGTGCACTTGCGTTATGGAGACTCCCAGTTTTCTGCTGCGAAGGTCTAGAACATCAGACAACTGCCTCAGGCAGGCTGTCAGACACGGGCAATAGGCCTAAATGCTTAACTGTACAGATGTGAGCACTGAGGCCTGGACTATTTATTTAGTTAGTTACTGAGACAGTCTTGCTCTGTTGCCCAGGCTGGAGTGCAGTGGCGCGATCTTGGCTCACTGCAACCTCCGCCTCCTGGGTTAAAGTAATTCTCATGCCTCAGCCTTACGAGTGGCTGGGATTACACGTGCTCACCACCACGCCCAGCTAATTTTTATGTTTTTAGTAGAGACGGGGTTTCACTATGTTGGCCAGGCTGGTCTTGAACCCCTGACCTCCAGTGATCTGCCCACCTCGGCCTCCCAAAGTGCTGGGATTACAGAGTGAACCACCACGCCCGGCCAAGGCCCAGAGTATTTAAGCCACTTGCCCAAGACCACACAGTGCGTTCTCAGAAGAGCTATGGTGCAGGTTTCCAGTCTGATACCCTTCACTTTCCGGCAGGCCTGGGACCCTGCTCTGTAGGTCCCTTGGTTCTGGGTCACCAGAGGAGAGGGAGACAGAGACAGGGAAGGCAGGAAGCAGTTGGTTCATGTCAGTCACAGCTGCTCACTTGGCTGTGCCCCTCTCTGCTCCTTCAACCCCGTCTCTCTGTCTCTCCAACTCCACATCTTCCCGGCCCTTAGCCGACAGCCTTGTCTGCCTCCTGGCTGGAGGGCCAGGGTCTGTGAGCCAGGGGCTCTCTCTGTTCGTTGTAATGAGGGAGAAGAGGTTCTTCCCACCCCTCAAGAGCTTGCTAGGGTGGGCTAGACAGAAGGGGGGAACTTTGAGTGGGAACAGCAGAACTGGATTAATTCCACAGGTCAGGGGACTGGGAACTAAATCATATTTTAGAGAGAGGTTTCTTTTTAGAAAGACAGGCTTACTTCTGGTCTGCTTCCCATTTTCCTTTAGGGAGAGATATGGGAAGGTCCACTTATGGGGGCTGAAGGGGACAGGCATGAGCTCTGGTTGTCTGCCCACAGGCCACGTCCTGCCCCCTGTGGTTTTATAAATAAAGTTTTATTGGAACACAGCCCACTCATTGTTTGATGTATTGCCTGTGGCTGCTTTTGTATTATAAGAATAGAGTTGGCTGGGTGCAGTGGCTCAAGCCTGTAATCCCAGCACTTTGGGAGGCCGAGGCGGGTGGATCACGAGGTCAAGAGATCGAGACCATCCTGGTCAACATGGTGAAACCCCATCTCTACTAAAAATACTAAAAATTAGCTGGGCATGGTGGTGCGTGTCTGTAATCCCAGCTACTCGGGAGGCTGAGGCAGGAGAATTGCCTGAACCCAGGAGGCGGAGGTTGCGGTGAGCCGAGATCGCGCCATTGCACTCCAGCCTGGGTAACAAGAGCGAAACTCCATCTCAAAAAAAAAAAAAAAAAAAAAAAAAAAAAGAATAGAGTTGAGTAGTTTCAACAGAGACCATATGGCCCCCAAAGCCTACCGTGTTTATTCTCTGGCCCTTTGCAAGCACCATCAAGCAGAACAGGTCTTCTTGGGTTCTTCAGGCTCAAGCCAAACACCTTTCCTTGGCTCACTGAGAGAGGTTAGTGCTTCTCAGGTTTCCTTATGAAGAACCCAAAGTAGGCCAGTGGTCAAGCGAACTGCGGAGAAGAGAGGGCCAGATGGGGCTGGGATGGGCCTGGTGCTAGGCCTGCTCAGGGGCATCTCAGGGCCTTGCAGTGGGCAGCCCACTTGGCCACATCTCTGGGGTACAGCAGCAGGCAGTTGGAACTTCAGCAAGATGTGGACACCAGGCAGCGACCCCCACGTTCTGAACCTCAGCACTCCTTGGCCACATCAGCTGAAATCCTCATGGCCCTTGGTGTGTCTACCTTGTCTCGGCCCCATCCGGGCTGGAAAGCTGCACCGGCATCGCTCCTGCTCCCCAAGGCGGCTGCTGACTGCTCAACCTGGGGAGGGGTCTCACATCAGATTTTGCCCTGTTTGTCTCTGGGTGAGGTCCCCAGGAGTCCCTCTCCCTTCCATTCCAGATGGCGCGGGGTCTGAGAGTGACTGTGGGGCAGTGTGTCTAACAGGGTGCCAGCTTTTTCTCGGTGCATCCAGTATCGAACACTGTCTAGTTCTTGTCCTTGCAGCTTGCGGCATGATTTTCTTAGTGTCCCCAGAGCTGATTGAACCCAGGGAGGTAGGCTCATGCTAACTACGCTCATGGGAGTTACTGCCAGTGGCAGCTAACCATTACTGAGCACTGACTACGTCGTAGGCACTGCACTGGGCACCATTACATTCTATCTAATCTAATCTTCACAGCAACCCAGAAGGTAAGTATATCACATCATCCAGATTTTTACAAGTTCAGGAACAGGCTCAGAGAGGGTAAGTCACTTCTTCAAAGGAGCAGAGCCTAGATTTGAACCCAGGCAGTCAGACCCCAGAGGCCTTGCTAGCACTCTGCTAATGTACAGTGAGAACCGGAAGGGGGCTGGGCTTCCTGGTTCTACACTGGGAGCCAACCTGCATTTGGAAGGTGGCTTGCTGAGAGAGGGAAAGAGTCAGGTGCTTAAAATAGAGAGCCCCATCAAATTCTGATCAGCTGAGGTGTGTGTCCCTGCAAGAGAGGGACACTGCTGTACGAGCTGTGTGACCTTGGGCAAGTTATTTAACCTCTCTGGTTCAGCTTCTTCATCTGCAAGATGGAGGGGATACTAGTACCCATCCTTGTAGGTTTGTTGGGAAAAATAACGAGTTACCATATGCAGAGTGCTCAGCAGGACGCCTGGCAGAGGGGAAATGCTGTGTAAATGTTGGCTGCTAGTTATCAGTGCTCTCTGGATGGGTCAGGCTGCTCTCCTGGCAAGCGCCTGGTAGGCAGGGCAAGGGTTTGTCTCTCAGACCTGCAGTTCAGTGGTGCCTTGTCATTGTCCCCCCTGCAGCCAGTGCGCTGCTCCTTTGGAGGTGACGAGCAGCCCAGCAGAGAAAGCAGCAGCCTGGGGATGCCACCAGACCTGTTTCTATGTCTGAGAATCCTCCCCTGTAAAATGGGGCTAAAAATGCCTACTCATATGACGGGATTGCTGTGGGGGCGAAATGAGTCACTGTAGTTCAATTGCACCAATGCTCTTGATACGATGGCCCTCTTCTCTTCTAGAAATGCGCAAACTATTGATTAGACAGAGCTTTCTGCCTCATTCAGCTGTTAATGGTGTCACATCTCAATCATATGTTCTTTAAGCTGCTTTGAGTTTGCTCCTTCCTCTTGGCAGGAGGACAACTCTAAATCCCATTTCACAGGTGAGGAAACTGAGGCCCAGATTGGAGACCACTGTGAGTGTGGAGTACAGCCCTCATCTCTTCTGGTCACTCAAGGTCCCTATCCTTCTGCATTGGGGTTGGGGAACGAGACTCTAAAATGATGCTCCCTTCTGCTCTGCTGGGCTGATCTGTCTTCCTCGATGGGTGGGGCTGCAGTAAGGGCTGAATGAGACATCAGGGTCCAGTGGGTGTGGTGCCCCCAGGCCTAGAGATGGGCCCTGGGTGCTCCAACCCTGACATTTGAGGTTCTGGGTCCAGGCCACTGAGCCCACTGGCCTTTGAGGATCCCTGGAACCACCAGGCCCTGTGGGACCGAGCCACCCACATGGCCAGAGAGGAAGGGTCAGGCTGCCTTGTGATAACCACGGGCCCTGTTCCAAGGAGGACCGTGTAGGATTCTCTGTGCTTCAGAGGAGCCCTGCATTTCGGCAGACACCTCATTATCCCTGTCCCAGCCGGCTGTGTCCCAGTGCCTCTCTAATCACACAGGCCCCCGCCCAACAGCCAGCCCGGGGCCAGGAAATCACTCCCCTCCCTCCTCCGCCTTCCGCCTGCCGGGGAGCCTGCAGCCACTCACTGTGGATCTCCTGCCTGCCTAACAGTTCTCTCTCTGGTTCTCCTCTCCTGCTGCCGCTTGCTCTCGGGGACTCTGAAGTGTGGCTGTCCAGCTGGGCTGAGTCACCCAAGAAGGACGTGACAGGTACTGCCGAGCGTGTGTGCATGCATGTGAGCATGTGTCCCAGGCCCGTGTGCACGGGAGCCAGTGCCTGCAGGCCTCTGCATGCTTCCCTGTGATGTCAGCAGCTGTCTGCCAGCATGGTGGGGGTCTGCCACTTGCTCTGCCCTTTGCCTCCCCAAATGTGGGGCCCTTTGCTGAGCAGCTGAGCAATGACCACGTAGCTCAGCATGTAAGTACATGTGCTCTGGAGGAAGGGCGTGTGGGTTTGAATCCCAGCTCAGCCACGTCTTGGCTGTGCTGCTCTGTGTGTAACCTCCTAAGGAAAAGCCATCCCACTTCGTGGGGAGCCTGGCACACAGAAAGTGCTTAGGCACTGGTGGGGCTTTTGCCATCTTCAGCCTTATCTCAGTTGACCTTCCCAGTAAGAGAGCCCAGCCAAAGATGGTTCATCTCACTTTAGGCAGGTAAACTGAGGCAGAGAGCAGAGGGCCCTGACACCCAAGCCTGGTTTCCAGTGATCTCACTGGGGAGCTGGAGGTTTGGGGCAGGGGGTAGGGTAGTTCTGTGACTGACTGAGGGTGGGTCACAGCCCCCATGCACAGCAATCCAGAGCTGGGCCTGACTGGCTGAAATGGCCCTCAGGGACTGGGGCCTTGCCCTGTGTCTGGGAGGAGCTGGGGAGAGGTCAGGGACTTGCCTTCAGCCTTTGGTCTTATGCGACCATGGCAGAGAAACCCACATAGCTGGGTTCCCAGCTCCTGGATGGTGATGGTCGGAGAAGGGATGGAATTTCCAGAAGGGTCTTCTTTGGAGCCCCTACATTTCTGAAACTGTTACACACCCTGACCCTCCAGCTCTGAACCTGAGAGCAGAGGTTCAGGCTCGGAAAATGGGGGACAAAGCAGAAGGGTGGGAGCTGAGGGGGGTGGTGGGGCTGAGCCAGCCCCAGGGTTTAGAGCCCAGAGCTCAGCCCCTCCTGCCTCCGCTGTGGGCGGGGAATGGGAGGTGAATGTGTTGGGAGGAGTCCAGAGGAGGAGAGAAGGCAGTGGGTCGGAGGGCGTTGAAATCGTCCTTCTGGAGTTTCCTGTGACGTCGGCCTGGGCCTGAGCTAATCGCTGGGCTCCTGTCCCTTTTTCCCCTCTCCACACGCCAGTGAGCCAGAGCCCACTTGGCCCACAGCAATACATTTTATTCACCAAACGTATAGCTGAGGGGCCGGCAGTCCCAGTCCCGCCTGGGAGGAACCAGTTGTAAGGGGCTAGAGGGACTTTTGTAGGATGCCCAGAGTTGGGGAGTCGTGGGGAGCCAGTGGTAGAAGCCAGCACAGGGCCTTACTAGTTTTGTGCCCCTGGGGAGGACACTTAACCACATCTCAATATGAACCCAGCTGTTTGGAGCGAGAGGCCTGGGGAGGCAGTGTGGGCTGCGGGAAAACCCAGCCAGACTGGGAGTCCAGGGCTGGAGTCTCTCTGGGCCTTGGTTTCTCCGTCTGGAGTGTTGGAGGGTCCTTTGAGATATGAGACAGGAAACGCAGAAGTAAGGGCTGATGCTCGAGATCCTTGTAGATCAGGGGCCTCAGGTTGCTTAGTCTGGCATTCCCCACCCCCCAGGCATTCCCCACCCTTCTCTTGGCACCTGTAGCCCTGGCACCAAGCTGCCTGCTGGCTCTGAGCCCATGAAGGAACCAACACCTTTGCTGTTCCCCGGGTCTCCCATTCCCTCTATTTGCTTTAACATGACCATCTATGGTTTCCATAGGACTTGAAGCCCTGTCACTCCATTCCATGCTCAGAACAATTCCCATGAGGTTGGAACTGCTATTGTTCCTGATTCCAGATGAAGCTGAAGCTCAAGAGAGGTTACGTGTCCTCCCCAGGGTCTCAGAGCTAGTAAGGGCAAAGCAGGACTGGACCTCAGACCTTTAGATTAGAATTCTTAGCATTTCCATCGTGAATTTCAGGTAATTACTATGTCCCATGTCATGTCCTGTGGCACCAGTCTTGGGGCATTGAGAGACTCTTTTTTTTTTGAGACGGAGTTTCGCTCTTGTTACCCAGGCTGGAGTGCAATGGCGCGATCTCAGCTCACCGCAACCTCCGCCTCCTGGGTTCAGGCAATTCTCCTGCCTCAGCCTCCTGAGTAGCTGGGATTACAGGCACGTGCCACCATGCCCAGCTAATTTTTTGCACTTTTAGTAGAGACGGGGTTTCACCATGTTGACCAGGATGGTCTCGATCTCTCGACCTCGTGATCCACCCGCCTCGGCCTCCCAAAGTGCTGGGATTACAGGCTTGAGCCACCGCGCCCGGCCTTGAGAGACTCTTGTTCAAGGCACATGGTTTGGTTGGGGAGCAATGCCCAGCATGAAATCCAGGAGGGAAGGGGGGAGAGGGAACAGTGATGGAGAGCCTCCTGGAGGGCAGAGATGCTTGGGGAGAATCGGGATTGGTAGAGAGAAGGAAAAGCCTTCCAGCAGGGGGCAGCAGCGAGAGCAAAGGCTTGGAAAGTGAGACGCTGCATGGAGCCGTGGTGTTGGGTGTTGGCGCCTAGTGGGTGCTTGATACACGTGTGTTGAATCATTAAATGTTGTATGGAATGGTGGCGTGGGGGATGGGGATCAAGGAACTCGGGGAGCTCAGATTGGCAAGAAAGACTGAACTTGAATTTGGTCTTTATTCCATAGGCAGCAGGGAGCCATGGAAGGCTTTGGAGCATGGGACTGACTTGGCAAAAGCCTAGTTGAGAATTTCAGTTGGCAGCCAGGGTCCCATCCAGGTGGTAGCTGGAGGAATGCAGATGTGAGGCAAGGTGGGGCAGGGGTCCAGGGGACTCCCGGGGCCCCAGCAGGTCCAGCCAGGGGCTCTGTAATAAAGCACAAGGGTCTACCCCTGGATGAGACTCATGCAAAGACCCCTTACAACCTAGGAGAGGCTCTGCTGTTTAGAAGAGGTACAGCCCTTCTCCATGCTCCTGCCAAGCACGCCTCATCTAAAGACACCAGACTCCCTCCACTGCCCCCTCCCCACTCAGGCTGACTCCTCCAGCCCCCAGTTCTGCAGGCCTTGGCTGGGAGGGGATCCAGAGTGGCCTCTGTGGGATGACATCACCGCCCACCGCCTGCCTGGCCTGCAAGTGGTTTCTCATCTGGATACCTGCTCGCAGCTCCTGCCCGCCCAGCTGCCCTGGCCAGGGAACACCCTAGGAGGCAGCTGCCAGAGGGAAGAGCTGAGAGCTGCCTGCGCCGTGGGGGGAGTCGGGGGGGCAGCCAGAAAGACAGTGTCCATGTCCATCCCACAGCTTTTGGAGTAGCTCCTGAGAGGGGTCGTAGCCTGCCTATGCCTTCCAATGCCTAGAGAATGTTTCCTTACCTCTTCTACCTGTCCCAGGAAGCTCAGGCCAATTTTCCAGGAAGATGGTGGGGGAAGGGGTGTGGGAGTGTGGGGTTAAACCTTGCCTCAGATTTTCTTGGCTTGAATTAAAATGAGCTGATGTCTGTCTACTCCCCAGCACCTCCAAACATCTGACCACAAAGCTGGGGCTCCTTGTTCCTCTTACCTCAGTTTCCCCATCTCCCTTTGAGTTTGGCTTTCTCATTTTCCCATATTTCAGAGTCGAGGTATTCATACTTGATTTCACAAACCAGCAAGTCCCTCTGTTCATCTCTCTGCCAGTTCATGTGTTTCACCTGTTCATTTCACACTTACTGAGTGCCTGCCACCTAACAGGCACTGTGGTCTGATCCCGGCTACTTGGGAGGCTGGAGAATAGCTTGAACTAGGGGCGGACGGTGCAGTGAGTCAAGATTACACCATTGCACTCCAGCCTGGGCGACAGAGCAAGACTCCATCTCAAAAAAAAAAAAAAAAAAAAAAAGGAAACCCATACTCTAGTTTTATTAAGCAGCAGCTGTGTCCCAGGTATCTGGGATGTAATGGGCCCTTCCCTGGGGACCAGGCACTGGCGGCCCACTGTAGGCCACGTATAATGCGGAAGATGATAGGTAGTGGTGTCAGCTGGGCTTTGTGTGACCTTACGGAAGTCACTTACCCTTGTGAGGCTTGGTTTGCCCGTGTGTAAAATGGGGCCATCACAGGACCTACTGCCCGGGGTTGCTCCGAGGACTGGATGAGACAGCTGGATTCTGTGGGATGCCTCAGAGTCAGCACTGATGGAGGCTCGTTGTCACTCTTGCTGTGATCTGGGCACACTCAGGGCTGGCAAGCTCTCTAACCCGCCACAGAAGTCTCTCTTCTTCTGTTTGTTGCTGGAGCCTTTCTTTCCCACTCTTCTCACCCAGTGCCCCCACACTGGGAAAGGCGCCCCCGTTTCTCGCAGGGCAGAGATGGCTCTTTCTGTGCCGGGTGTGTTAAGAAGTGCTGTTGGCCACAGAGGCTCCAGGCACGGAACAGGCACTGCCATCCTCCCGGGGGCACAGTGGGAGGCAGTCGGTCAGCGCAGCCCCCCGCGCTGCCTCTGCCCAGCTGGCAGGGGCAGGCACAGAAGCTGCCACGCCTGAGTACAGAGGTGGAGCAGGCCCTGCTGCCCAGCTGTTGGTTGCATTTCTGTCTGAAATTCAATCCCGGCTTTAGAGGGGCTGCCCGGGATTGTGCTCGTGCGAACCCTCAGTTGCAGTAGGGTCCCTTCTGCTTCTCCAAAGGGCCGAGATGGGCCTGCAGGGCCCACACCTCATGGGAGAAAATGGCCGGGGGCAGTGGGGTTGGTTTCCCTGGAAGGAGGCCTCCCCTTGGGATTTCACAAAGTTGTGTGGCCATTGCCGTCTGCCCTAGGTTGGAGGGAACCTCCCCCGCAGAAGGACACAAAGATCTAAGAAGTGTTTCTTGCTCCTGGTTGCACGCAAGCACCATAGGGACAGAGGGGATGTCCAAAAATTACTCCCGCCTGGGTCCCAGACCAAAGAAACCTGTCTCTGGAGCCCAGCACCAGTAGGTTTAAAAAGCTCCCCAGGTGATTCTGTGCTACCAAGTTGAGGATCATTGTGCTAGAAGAACCTGACTGATGGAAACAAATCAGAGGCAATTATTCTGCAGTGGAAAGACAGATGGGCTTGAGCCCGAACAAAATCATTCCGAACGAATGTGATGCTCGTCATCGCAGCTGTGGGAGCTGGAGTGGTCTCTTGCCTGCTCTGGGCCTCTGATTGGTCTTTTGTGAAATGGGAAGATAAGGGGGGGTGTTGTGAGCACGAAGTGGGGTGGTTAATGTGCCTGGCACATCACATTTGCCAAGTCAGACTCAGGTGTGGGGGGAATGTGGCTGTAGGCTGAGGTGACAAGGGGGATGGGTGGCGCTTGGAGATGCTCAGCCACTTTTGTAGCCAGGCTAGTGATATGAAGCCCACTAGCCTTCAAGGAGATTGGCAGACATGTAATTTAAGTATGCCAGTTGCAGTGGCTCGTGTCTGTAATCACAGCCCTTTGAGAGGCCAAGGCAGGAGGATCACTTGAGCCCAGGAGTTCAAGACCAGCCTGGGCAACAAAGTGAGACCTCATCTCTAAAAAAAATTAAAAAAAAAAAACTAACCAGGTATGGTGGTATGTGCCTTTGGTCCCAGCTACATGAGAGGCTGAGGTGGCAAGATTGCTTGAACCCTGGAGGTCAAGGCTGCAGTGACCCATGATTGTACCACTGCACTCTAGCCTGGGCAACAAAGAGAGACCCTGTCTCAAAAAAAAAAGTGTACTAGGAATTCTCTTTGGGCTAGGGGTGGTCTCGGAAGGCTTTCTATAGGAGGTGACTAGTCCCTCTCTGGCTAGCGAATCCTTTTCGCTCCTAGCTAAAAACATATCATGTTTTAGGTGTCTTATCCCCACCCCCACCCTAATAATGATGATGAAAGAGTTGAAGTGCAGAAATTTAAGCAACATCCAATGCCACACAGCTAGGAAGCTAAGACAGCACCAGGCCTGTCTGCCTTCCTGCCTGGTGCCCGCTAAGCGAATGTCACGCTGGTCCGGTGGTAGGAGGACAGAGAAGCTGCTTGCTCCTGGGGGTCTGCCTGCCCTCCCTCCGCTACACCCAGCTTTTGACCCCTCAGGCCCCTCAAACTGCCAGGAGCCTGACCACAAGCCCCGGCACTGAAAGGCAGAGGGAAACTGAGTCAGTCTCTGCAGCCAGAGGGCCCTCTCTGGAAGCAGGGCTGGGGGCAGGCCTGAGTCTGGTCTGACTGCACCTGGCCTGGGCTGAGTGGCAACGCCTGGGTGAGCCCATGGGGCAGGAACCGAGCGAACTTGAGGAAAAGTTGGCGGGGGGCGGGCTGGGCTCGCCAGCCGCTGGCGCGCGCGGGGACTTTCTTCTTGGGTTTCAAGTAAACAGTCTGGGCCTCCTCCCCCTCCCCTGCCTCCACCCCCGGCTCCTCATTCGATGGGTCTCATGTGTTTCTATTTAAGGGTTGCGAGTAAACCCCAGTGATTGGCGGCCTCAAACCCTCTTGACTCCTCGCCTGGGCCTGGGCCGCGGAGAAGCTCTCTCCCGCTCTCTCCTCTCCCTCTCCCGCCCGAGGGAGCAGGGCTGCCTTTTCTCTCGGGTTTGCAGGGGTTGGGGGCAGAGGCTGGAGCCTCCTGCTTGCCTTTCCTTTGCCTCTGGCCTCAGCCCTCATGGGCCGCCCACCCCCTGGCTCGCTGCCCTCCCCAGTGCCCCTGCCGGCCGGAGAGGGAGGCCGGAGAGACCCCGTTGGCCCCAGGCCTCCCCGTGGGCTCCCTCATGCCGGGCTGTGACTAACTCATCGCAGCACAAGGCTTCTTCCTGAGCTTCCTCGGTCTCCGCCTCCGCCTCCGCCGTCCCTCCTTCTCCTGCCCGTCCCCTCCCCGGCCCCCTGGCTCCCCATGTCCCCCGGTCCCCGCGGTGCAGCGGGCCGGTGTGGGGCCTTGCTATATGGCCTGTCCTTGGCGTCCTGTGAGCTTCGAGCCCCGGCTGCGGGCTGCTCCTGCGAGCGGCACTGGCGACAGAGCAGCCTCCCCCGAGGAGGCCGATGGACAGGGGGCGCCCCGGCCGCGGGGCCATGGCCGGCCGCTGGCTCACCGCGTGCTTTCTGCCCTCGCCAGGTGCCGACGCCACCGCCGAGCCCATGATCCTGGAACAGTACGTGGTGGTGTCCAACTATAAGAAGCAGGAGAACTCGGAGCTGAGCCTCCAGGCCGGGGAGGTGGTGGATGTCATCGAGAAGAACGAGAGCGGTGAGTGCCCTGGCCGTCGGCTGTCCACTGGGGTTCCGGTCGGGCCCCCCGGCCAGGCTGGGTTTTGTTCCTGCCTCCCTCCTCCCCCACCGCTGCAGCTATACGTTATTTCCATCTGGCAGAGAGAGGGCCGAGGCGGCTGAAGTTTCCCCCTGTTGGTTTGGGCGGCAGGCCAGCAGTTTGCCTGGTGGTGGAAGAATGTCTCCCCGGCTCGGGGTAATGAACCGGCCTTTGCTAATGCAGGGCCAGGCGCAGCACGGGAGTAAGCGGCCAGCCCTGATGGGGTCCCGTGCCCTAGGAAGACCGGGGGGGCGGGAGCTCTCAGCTCAGGGATGCCCAACAACAGCACCCCCACAGGCCATGTTCCAAGCCAGGGTCCAGGCAGGGGGCAGGGCACACAGTGGGGGTCCAGGGTCCCTGGCTGGCCAGGCCTGGGGGAGTTGGCTGGGGTCTGGTTGGGGAGCTGACTGCCCCCTGCCGAGCTGGAGGCCCTGGGGCCTGAGAAGTAAGCCCAGTGAGGGGACTGCAGCCACGCCCAGGCCAGGCAGGGTCCTGCATTGACAGGGGCCGTGCTGACAGCTGCCCGGGGCTGCTGGTTCTCGGGGTGCCACGGAGGGGGCAAGGTACCTTGGTGTCCCTGGCAGCAGGAGTCATGGCAGGTGGGGAGAGGACAGCCAAGCCCGTCAGTCCAGGCCCGTTTGGTCCCCTGACAGCCCGAGATGGAACTGGAGCCCAGGACATCCATCCGCCCACAGCCTCCTGGGGCTTGCACTGGTTTCTGGGGGGGTTTTGTTTCGGTTTCGGTTTGCTGCGGGGAAGGCCCCTGTGTCTGGAGCCTTCCTGAATGGTGTTTGGTGGATACTTCCGGAGGGGAGGGGCATGTTCTCCTCGCCTAGCCCCACTCTGTGCCTTTCCAGTGTTTAAACCCGGAAAGGAAAGGCGAAGTGAAGGAGGCAGTGCCCGCTCTGTAGAGACAGGAACGGAGGCACAGGCAGGCTGAGCGGAAGCGAGTCTCCTGAGGGCCGAGGCATCACTCCTGTGCCTCCAGGTGGCCAGGAGCTGTGGAAATGCTGAGGAAATCCCAGCGGGCCTCCTGGGGGAGGTGGGTGCAGGAGAACAGGGGTGTGATATGCTCACAGGCCTGACTCGTGGCCCTCCTGCTCTGAGGTCTTTGCAGGACCTGCTCCCCTCTCAGGTCAGGCCGTAGCTGCCCTTGTGCCTGATATCATCACCAAGGTGGTCAGCAGCAGCAGTTCCCCCCACCTCCCGCACCCCGCAGAGCCATGTCCCTGCTATGAGGCCTCAACCGTTCCGTCCCAGGTGCCCACACTGGGCTCCTCCCTGCGCGGCTTTGTCCCCAGCCTTTTTCATGCTCATGGTGCCACCACCTTGCCTCCAAAGCAAGCTGGTGATATCAGGGGTCTAGCTCTGGAAACCCCCAGCACCCAAGTAATGGATCTCTAATGGTGGCATGGGAGACCTCAGGTGAGGGAGATGTTTGTTGCAGAGCTTGCATCAGGAAAAGTGGTTGGTTCCTCTCAGAACTTCTGGTTAGGGATAGTCCTTCCACCATGCCTGCCTGTCACACCATAGCTGTTAACCCTTGAGCGGCAGGAGGTAGTGAGCCCCCATGTCTTTGGGGGCCGCCAGCCACTGGCCAGGGTGGCTGAAGAGGAGACGGCACACGAGAGGAAGTTACCCTGCTGGAAATCCCAGGATTCCCAGGGCATGTGTGCCTTCTCCCCTCCTAGCCCATCTCCAGGACCCTAGGACACTGGAGTCCTGCCTAGGATTGGGTGAAGGAGCCCTGACAAGTGCTCTCCTGAGGAGCTGCTGATGGCTGTGAGAGGTGGCCCAGGCACCCCAGATCCCCATGGCCACCTGTGGCCAGAGCCGGCCAGTCTGACACACAGACTGTCCAAGGGAGCTACTGTTCTTAGAAGCCACATTCTAGCTGCCACTGCCTGCTGGGGGCTTCAGGTCCCTTAGCTTCTCTGGGCCTCAGTTATTCCTTCCATAAAATAGAAGTAACCTTGTGGTTGGTTGGAAGCAGGGGCTGGAGCAAGTGACCTCCCTGAACGTCTCTCAGGTGAACTCCGAAGCTGGAAGTCTTGGTGGGACCCTGAGTGTCAGGTAGAAAGAGCTTCCCTGAACATGGCTTTTCTGTTTCTGGGAGTTTTGTATCGTTGCCCTTGATGGAGGCAGCTGCTCAGCTGCAGATGTTTGCACAGGACCTGGAGTGCCCGTGCCTGCCTATTCAAACCCATCTGTCGCTATCTCCCAGGAGGCCTGGAGTACACAACCAGCCTAACCAGAGAAACAAAGCAGGTGGAGGGAGAAGGGAAGAGGGCCAAACTGCACATCTCTGGGAGGGTGGTTTCCCAGTTCAGGGGAGCTGCAGGCCTGATGGCGGTGCAGAGGAGGCATCTTGTGCATCCTGCAAGCTGGCTTTGGAAGGAGTGGTGAGTGAGGTTTTTGAACTTGGGAACAAAGACCCCATTGTGATGCCTTTGACCTTGGGACACAGTGGGTGTGTTGAGGCATTTCCATTTGCATTGTTGGGCAGTGGCCTGCCTGCACCATCGCCGCCTCCCTGAGCCTGGCCTTGCCCACAGGGTGCCAGGACTCTGCCTGTGTCCCCCCTCACTTGGCTGGGAGTGCCTCAAGCAGAGTGTCCACAGGGGTACCCAGCCACCTCTGGCTCTGCCTGCTCATCAGAGCCCCTCTGTGGTCTCATTGGTCTAAAGAGAGATGTGCATGGAAGATGATTTTGAGTCTGTAAACACCAGGTGGCAGGCTACAGGCTTCACACACATCATTCTGTTGGGATATCATGGAACAATGCCACGCAGTAGAAGGCAGTTTAACCAATCTGTGGCTGAGGTAATAGGTTAAGAGGTTAAGTAATTTCTTTAGAGTCCAAGAGCTAAGATCTCTCCCCTCACCAGAGGCCATGCGGGGAGGCTGAGAATGGGCCCATCCCCAGTGGGAAGGGTGGAAGTCCAAGTTGGCAATGCTGCAGGTTGAGGTAAGATGGCTGCAGAGCTCCCTGGAACATCTGTGGGGAAGCTCGTCTCTGCATCCCTCCTTCCAGCTAGTAGGAATTCATGTTGTTCATTGATCCATTGAACTTGGGAACAGGAAACAGCTGAAAGGATCTGAGGAAGGTAATGTGTACCTGGGACTGAGGACAAGCCTATCCCAGAGAACAGGAGTCAAAGAAACCCAAAGTGGGACTTGAGAAGCTTTGAGGAAAGCATTTGTGATCAAGCAGTGGGTCTAAGGCCAGACCAGAAAAGGACTCTTTCTCCATTGATCAACAGGGACACATAGAGCAGAAAGATTCATAGCTTTGGTAGCTTTGCCACCCAGCAAGTCATACCAGGGCATGCAGCCGCCATTGTTACTTTGTCTTTGGAAACTCCTCTACCGTTGACATAAGCAGCAGTGCCTGAGATGCCTCCTCTGTAAGACATTCATTTGCCTCAAAGACGGCATTGGCTTCCCTCTGCAGCAGGCATAATTTCTGGCAGCTTGGTGACATCATGGTGCTGGTCACTCTGATTTCTGTGTTGAGCAAAGCTGCCTCCAACTTCCTAGGATTGTTTCTTCCTCCTCAGGACTGCTGACCAGGGGAGAAAGTGGGGAGATGAGTCAACAAAATTTTTCCTGCCTTACCTTTCCTTCTCTGAGTCTTTGCTTACTTCCTGGCACCGGCATGATGCATTGGGAGTTCTTATACTTCCATGGAAGCAAGGAATTTGAGGCTCCTAGTCCATCATTTTTTTTTTTTTTTTTTTTTAAACAAGTGAGAAAACCGAGCCCTGGGAAGAATTTGAGAATCTTCACTTCTCTCCAGGGTTAGTGCTTTAGTCCCAGTTGAGTTGTGAGCAGCGGACAGAAATTCACTCAGACTTTCTCAAGAAATTATTGAAGCAATAAAGGAAAATCTCACCAAACCCAGGGGTGAGAGGTAAATCAGCCTCAGGAGGCTGGTACTAGGAACCAAAAGTCAACACGAGCCAAAGCAGTTTCTCTGTCTGTCTTACTTAACCGTACAGATTTTTTTTTTTTTTTTTAAAACAGGGCTTCACTCTTGTTGTCCAGGCTGAAGTGCAGTGGCGTGATCTCAGCTCACTGCAGCCTCTGCCTCCTGGGTCAAGTGATTCTCCTGCCTCAGGCTCCCAAGTAGTTGGGATTACAGGTGCCTGCTACCACGGCTGGCTAATTTTGGTATTTTTAGTAGAAATAGGGTTTTACTGTGTTGGCCAGGCTGGTCTCAAACTCCTGACTCAGGCAATCCGCCCGCCTCCAACTCCCAAGGGGCTTTGATTACAGGTGTGAGCCACTGCGCCCAACTGTCATGACAATTTAAAGCATAGCTGTGCTCTTGTAACTGCAGACCAGCCTGCCTTCCCCTCTCGTCTGACCATGATGACAGCTTGCTTGAGTGGTATTGGTTTCTCAAGACCAGATCTGCATGCTTTTCAGTTGAGATCTCTCTCAGTAACTGAGTTTGACCTCTGGTTCTTCGAGTTCAAAATTCAAAGTTTGAGTCTGATTGTTTCCTCGCTAGTCAATGGATTGGCAAGCCTTAGACTGCGTGTCCAGCCCTGGGCCGATAGACTGTATCCCGGAGAAACATCACAGGGTATAAACATGGTTAACTAATCAACCTCTTCGGCAGAGGCTGTTGGTAGGTAGATCTTTAAAGAAAAGTTACCCCAAAACATGGTGGCGGCGATCATTTGTTCAGTAACTGTGCATGTGGTAGAGAGGGTCAAGAATCCGGAATTCCAATACGGGGTTTAACATCTAAGGCTAGACTGTGTGATGTAAGTAGAAATCAATTTGTTTTCTGATGGGTAAGAGGGGGTTGTGATACATACCACATGGACTTCTGTAAGGATGAAGTACATTGTGCATAGGAGTGGTTCATGTATTCACTCATTTACTCACAGTTCTTGAATAATTGAACACTCTGTGCTAATTATGTATAT